GAAACAAAGGAACTCAATATCCAATACCGTTTTCAGTATTCAAATCGAGCTATAGTCAGAGTAAAGAATCCAAGAGATATCCTGTGATAGGTTGAAACAGGTGTAACTTCTGAACTAATAGAGATAAGAGGGTAGCTGTGGTGTGTGAGTAGGGGTTATTTAACCTTAGGAATCCATTTTTGATGTTATTTTTACCCTATCTTAGAGATAATAATAAATTTTTATATTTTTGGCGTAGAAACACAGGAATAATTACCACACCGGCTGTTGAGAGTCAGCTGGGAGGGTTCCTCTAGGTCGTCAAGAGTGTACTCTTGATGACCAAGAGGTTTCCTCTCAGTCATCAAGAGTACACTCTCAACAACCAAGAGGTTTCCTCTCGGCCATCAAGAGTACACTCTCAACAACCAAGAGGTTTCCTCTTGGTCATCAAGAGTATACTCTGAAGGACCAAGAGGAAACCTCTTGGTCATCAAGAGTACACTCTTGACAAGCAAGAGGAACCCTCCCGGCTGTTGAGAGTGTACACTCTTAAAAGCCGGGAGGTTTCCTCTTGGTCGTTGAGAGTGTACTCTCAGCGCCCAGGAGGTTTCCCTCCCAGCAGCTGAGAATGCATGCTCTTGACAGCCAGGAGGTTTCCTTCAGGCCATCAAGGCTTGTTGGCAGGGCTGACTGCCAACCCTTCCGGGGGTTTTATACTTTTTTGTATTTTTTTTTGAGATCTGACCCCCATTCCCTCAGTGCAGGGAATGGGAGGAGCGACTTCCACATGCTAGGGGGCCAGGACGTCCCTCTATGGTCCTCCCACGGTCCTCTTGACAACTCCCAAAAATGGGAGTTGGAGCTCCCATTTTTGGGAGTCCTTTAATCAAGTCCCAGAAAAAATGGTACAGACAAAAAATATACAAAATCCCAGCCTCCAGCCAAAAAAAATGTTACACACAAAAATTCTACAAAATTTTTGGGTGACCTCTGAGCCTACGCACAAACACTACAAACAATACCAGTTTTGCCCCAGGAAAAAATTGCCATTTTGGTGGTGGAAAATAGATCCATTTTCCTGAGGCTTATTTGCAAAATGACTCAGGAGTAAAAATTAGGCTAAAATGAGCTATTTTAGCCAAAAAATAAAAATGCCTCAAATGAGCTAAAAATTATTTTGGAATGTTTGAGGCATTTTTATTTTTGGACTAAAATAGCTCATTTTAGCCTAATTTTTACTCCTGAGTCATGGTGTAAATAAGCCTCAGGGAAATTGATCTATTTTCCACCACCCAAATTGCCATTTTTTCCTGGGGCGAAACCGGTATTGTTTGTAGTGAAAACGTGTATGAATGAGTCCCAAAAATGTATGGATTTTCTGAAAATCTGGGATTTTATGTTACTGACATCTCTTGTAGCATCCTAACTGATGGGATGTATCCCTTTCCTCTTGCATTCTTCAGTATCCTCATCACGTTTTGCAATAGATCCGTCAGACACTGAGACCATAGCCCATGTGTCTACAATGTAAATATATAACACCACAGACAATCGTCTGTCTGTCAGCCTTAGAGCCAGCCAAGCTGGCCAAAAGACTGCCAAAAGTACCTATTCCTATTCCAAATATTATCTTATCTTTTTTGCCTTAAGACTTTTTACCTTTTTGACTTCAGAAATGGATTCCTGGTGTAAAATTAACCCTAGTCACCACTGATCACTTTTACTCAACTCCATTCCTTCATTGACTTTGTAATAATTCACAGTACTCCAAGAATTACTCCAGCTCTTAGGTTTCAGCTCCCTCTACCACATGTACATGCCTGATTACATAATCCAGCTTTGAAAATCCTCTCTGAGCTTGTTGATTCCGCTTCCAGAGGATTTTCAGACTTCAGACACACCCAGAACCACAACAACCAGTACTAGATCCAGCCTACACTTATCAACCAGAAGAACCTTACTTTTCCTGCCTTTCCCACTACTCAGTGTCATTGGTGTCATCAGTAAGTTACTTCTTTTAAGTCTAGCTAGCATCTTTCTGCTTGTTTCTGTTGGATTTCACAGTGCTCTATTCCTTCTCTCAGTTATGTGCTACATACATTTCACTCACATGTCACCAGTACTGTAGTTTACCTGAGACATGAGTGAGTGCGTGGAAGGCTTCTCTTTCCTCATCCTTCCACAACCTCACTTTATGTCTCAGGTAAGTTTCTTTCTCCTATGTTTTCTTTTTCTTCTTTGATTCTCATGAGGTTGTTTTTCCTTCTTCTCATTACTGATGCAATGCAATCCTTCCACAACCTCACTTTATGTCTCAGTATCACCTCAACAGGTTACACTACAAGCAATACCCATTTTGCCCCAACAATAAATGGCAATTTGGGTGGGGGAAAATGGATCAATCTTCTGGCACTTTTTTCCAAAATGCCTCAGGAGTAGAAATTGGGCTAAACTGAGCTATTTTAGCCCAGAGATAGAAATTCATCAAACATTCCAAAATGTTTTTTTAGCTCATTTGAGACATTTTTATTTTTTGGCTAAAATAGCTCATTTTAGCATAATTTTTTACTCCTGAGGCATCTTGTAAAAAAAGTGCCAGAAAATTGATCTATTTTCCACCATCCAAATTGCCATTTTTCCTTGGGGCAAAATCGGTATTGTTTGTAGTGTTATGAGCACCATCGCGCTCTGACTACGCACTCACACCCTTTCTTTTTATCTAACTGGTACTTGAGGGACCATAAGGATCTGTACGCTTACCGATAAAGCGATTTGACTTTTTATGACTTCACCCCCTTCTCTGTGCATCAAACCAGAATACAACATCTCAACGACCCCCAAACTCGCTCCCTCATCCTCTTCACTTGACTCGTTTCCGTTGCTACCGCCTCTCCTCAGACTGTCACCGTCTGTCTCGATCGCCAAACCGTCACTGCCTGCGTCAAGAATGTCATCGACTGCCGACTCCGAGGTCTCAAGCCATCCAGCCCTCAAACTGACGGTGTGGTAAGCCAATCCTGAATATCCAAGCACCTCAAGACCACAAATCACACAAGAATCACAGGATTAAGAAACCCCCAGAAAGATCCCCAGACCCTCAAACAAATTTAAACAACACTCAAGCACTGGCCACATGGATAATATTATTTCCCAGACAGAAACTCCACAGCCCTGAAACTCATTCCCCTCCAAACATATTCTATTCTTCTTACCCCTTGTGTTCCACACTAGTAGCAATCCTCCTGATCCATGAAACAGTTATTTCCTCCTATCTCCTTCCATGGAATATTCCCCCCCTTATTGGTTTCATACTAGTAACCTTGGGAGCATTTTCCCACTGCTTGTTTCCCCTGTTTTCTCTGGATAAATATTTTCCCTTGTTTCATACGCTTCATAGAATGTTCCACATATCTTCCAACCACAAGCTGGCCACTCCCCAGAATTTTGTATATAAGGAGCTTTGTTTTTCCTCTTCATTTGTTCCACATCAGATCCTGCCCCAGCAATTCAGATAACTGATCACCCACTATTAGCCAGGTATTTGCCCATCAACATTTGGGATACCTTGATTTGTGACAAGTTTATTTAGACTAGTAACCATAAGAAATATTAGACATACCATCCTCAAGAAATCTCCACAGCCACACCTTTTTCCTTAAGAGTCCATACTCTTATATTTTCTTGTTATCAGAGAGGCAGCCCAATAAAGCACTCATCCCTCTCAAGCTCTATTCATCCCAAGAGTAGTTCCACAACGGGGGTGGAGCAGCTTAAACCACCAGGCTCCGAGTCAAACTATCTCAACTGGAGCTGGATTCTAGAAATACATTTTATGGCCACCGACGTAGACTACGTAATCACCGAAGATCCGGCGAAGTCTAAACTCAAACCAAATTGGGAAAGAGACAACAAAGCCGTTGTGGTATACCTTAAGGGTAGCCATCTGGCCCATTTAAAAATTTTATACTGTTCTTTCTTTTATTACACAATTACACCTTTTTTCTGATATATACACTCAGAAATCACCCAATATGGCTCAAGAACTGGATTCTACGGTCAATTTCACCCTTGGTCACCACTGGAGGCGTCACTGTAACTCAACTGGATTGGAAGCTACACCCTCTGGACCATCAATACACTCAATTACACAACTCAACACCATGTTAACACTTCAACACTCAAAAACACCAACAAGTTACATAATTCACACTACACACATGCATGTTGCAGGACAACTACATAATCACACCATTATAGTACAGGTATACACACAACTACACTATATTCTGACACTTGACACATGCAGCTTCTAGGCTGGTCCTGTTGCTATGTCACTTGTTAATCTTCCTTGCAGCTGTCAGAACATCTCACACCACTCATGTAATACTCATCACCTCACCTTAGCTTGCAGACTAGTACATCACCTCATGTACAATGCTTCACCAGCATAAACCCCTCATGTAGACCTCTAGTTCAAGCTAAAATAACTCTTATGACATCATGTAGGTTGCTCAACCAGCCAAAATACCTCATGTACATGTTCTGACTAGCTAAATCCCCTCATTGTAAAGCTCTGGGCAGCTAAAATCTCTCATTCTCTTGCTCCCCTGAAGCTAAAATCCCTCACCTTTGTGTATTTAAGAGGCTCTCCTCTCAGTTGTTTTCCCCTCAGTTTAGTATCCACCTATTTCATACCCCCTACCCTTACAAACCCTTACATACCATTACATACCATCCCCTTACCATTGAAATATCAGCTAGACTCACTCTCTCATTCTCAAATCAACCTCTTAGACCTATATAAAACTGGTTTAAACCCTTTGTCCACCTGTTAAGCCACAGTTATCTTTTGATACACTCCACTATCACTTTATTAAACCTTCCAATCTGAGATTGGTGGGCTTGTCTAGTGATCCAGGAAAGGCAGAGGTATCCTCATTCATCCCTTTCCACACTCAGCAAAAGGTTTTCACAAACACTTTTGAGCTTTACACCGTATGCGGCGTCATCTCCAGAACAATTCATCCGATCAACATCCGGAACGTCTGTCACTTGAAGACCAACGCTCGCGGATTGTGGGATGCTCTGAAACAAGCCCACCAAGACTCCTTGGCCGGTGGTGTTATGTACTGGCTACGCAAGCTAACAATGTCGCGAATGGCAACCGATGATCTTTCATCCCATCTAGACGAGATGGCCAAGACCCACGAGCGTCTTAATGCTCTCATCACGACCGAATTGCCTCTCACGCCGGAGGACATATACTCGGCGTCCATCCTAACATCTCTTCCTCAAGATTGGTTGTCGTGCGTCTCATCAATGATGAATGAGCCACATGTCAGCCCCATCAAATTGATTGACGCACAAGGAACTTTGTCGTAAAACGAGATACGACGATCCCTCTCTTCTTGAATCTGCATCGGCAACTAAAGCCAACCCCAACTCAAAACGTAAAGGCAACTCGGCCGGCAACAAACCTCGACACTGCACTTATTGCAATATGGACGGTCATGACCTCAACAACTCCGGTCATGTCGCGCGTATGATCCACTCACACAAGTCAACCGGCGATAAGACTGACAAGCAAGCCTCGTTGACCCGCTCCTCCACAAAAAGTCATTTCTCTCATCAACCCCCTGCAAAGGCAGGCAGAACCTCCGCTGCCACCCTCGGAGGAGCGGAGGAAGAGAACAACGAGTCCGACTTCTCTGGCTCTGAGCTCGAGGTAACAGCTGGTCAAGCGGAGGTATCCCTGTCTTCAACAGTCTTCTCGAACCCCTCAGGCAATGCAAATCTAGAATCAGGCTGCTCTGTGTCAATGACACCAGATCTGTCTGCAATTTCACGCGCTAAGGCCGACAGTACCCCAGTCCGTCTAGCCGATCATTCTCTCGTTGAAGCCACCCACAAGGGTGTATCAAAATTACCGCTTGACACCGATGCCACTGTCACCACATTGGTAGTTCCAGATCTAGCCGAGCCCTTACTCTCAATTGCTGGCCTCTGCGACGCCGGACTAACTGTGGTTTTCACCAAACAATCTGAAAAGATTTGATTTTATTGCCAAAAAACCAGAAACCAGAACTAAAGAAAAAAGAAACAAAGAGATCAGATCATTGAAAAGAAAGAAAGAGAGAATATGGAAGCCAGAAGAGAAAGATAACAAGGCATACCACTAATCGATGTAGATCAGAAAAGAAGAAGACTATCCAAGAGGCGAGGTGAGGATTTTAGAAGTGATAGAAGACTGAACACCAGGAATCAAGACAAGAGAATTATAAGAGAAACAGTCAGTTCTTTTGACAACAAACAACAGAAGAAGGAACCAGAAAAAAGAAGAGAAGAAACAAACAGAAGCTCAAGAAGAATTGTTTAGGATAGGAGCGCAGGCGATAGGAGTTATGAGAAGTCGGAATACTTAGTCTAAACATGTAGGGAGAAAAGAAAGATAGGAAAGAGAACCGGGAAGTAATAAGGGTCAGGATTCAGTTCGACTAGAATTGATCATCGGCGTCATTTTACTTTACGAGTTATGTTCCGGAAGTCTTGACGATCGATGATTATCGAGGAGTCGAGCGAGTGCAGTTAGTTGAACCTGAACCGTTTTCTTTCTGGGTTGGTTGAAGAGAGATAGAGTTTGGGTTTGGTCGGCGATTTTCTTAGGGATGAGGACAACCCTAAGTGGTTCACGTTCTAGAGTCCGCAGTCGGTGTTGTGTTTCTCATCATGAGTATGCGCGCGAGTCCGCAGTGAGATGAAAACTCAACAGCCCTCCTTGTTTGTTGACGAAAGGACTGTGAGACACTTGGATTGAAAATTTTTCAGAGAGGAGTGAGGGGCCGCTTTTGTCAGGGAATCCGCAATCATATCTTGAGATGGTATCAGCTTCACGTCAATCTCCTTAGCCTTGAACTTCTCACGTAAACTTTTTATCTTGATGTCTAGATGTTTTGTTTTCGAGTTAGATCCAAAATTCTTCAACTTCTCAATTAATCCCTTATTGTCGATGTGAAAGAGAGTTGGTGATAATTTGACCCGCCAGAGTTCTTCAATGAGGAATGAAAGCCATTGATTTTCCTGCTCTCCATCTGAGAGCGCATTCATTTCAGACTCCATCGGCGACATCGTGATGTTCTTCTGCTTCTTGCTGTTCCAAAGAATTGGGCAAGCTTTCCAGAAGGCAAGACTGCCACTCCGCGATATTCTTGATTCTTGATCCTCGGCCCATGTAGCGTCGGTGAAGAAGTTGATGCGCTCGATCAGCTGATTGGGCTCAGGCCGTAGAAGAAGACCAAGATTCATGGTTCCCTTCAGGTATTTCCAGCAGTGGATTACTTCACGCCAGTGACTCAGACCGGGCTTTTGATTGAATTTGGACAGAATGGAGACTGCTGAGGCCAGATCCGGTCTTGTACGACATGCGAGGTAATTCAGCATCCCAGTGAATGAGCGGTAGTTGATGTTAAGTTTCAAGAATTCAGCGTGTTCTTCCTCAGTAGCAGTATGCAGTTGAATGGCGGGAGTGAGAGGCGTCTTCACCGGTCGACAGTGCTTGAGGTCCAAAAGTTCGAGGCCTTTCTCTATGAGAGCCGGCTGCGAAAGTTCAATTGAGTCTGACATCACATTGAGATTCATGCCAAGGAGCGTGTCAGGAGCATGTGCTGAGGAATTGGGAAATCGTTCTAGGAACAATGTTTCAAATTCTTCAATCCTGCCAACTACGACAAGGTCGTCAACATGGAAGAAGATAAAGGAGTTTTTGTCCTTGTGGATGAAAAGACAAGCGTCGGATACGGAGGGATTGTAGTTTATGTCCTGGAACCAGGAGGTTAGGGTCTCGTACCAATTTTTTGGAGCTTGCTTTAGGCCGTACAAGGATTTCACGACCTTCAGATAAGGTGCCTTCCTCTTAGAGCCCTCAGGAGTCTTTATGTAGATTTCCTCCTCAAGTGGCGCAAAGAGGAATGCACTCTTCACGTCGAATTGCTTGATAGGCAGTTGAAGATCAATAGCTAACACCAGTAGCGTTAGAAGAGATGGGAATTTCCCGGTAGGAGCGAACGTTTCGAAGAAGTCTTCGCCGTATGTCTGGAGGAAGCCCTGAATGCAGAGTCTAGCCTTCTGCTTTTCAGGCGACGAGTTTGTCATGGGTTTAGTTTTGAATACCCAAGTGTGCTTGAGGTATTTAGGTGGTGGTTCTTCTTGATCCATCCATACCTCATGATTCTCAATATTATTCAGCTCGTCGTCGATGGCATTTTTCCACTGTTCAGCATTGGGTCCCGATACAGCTCCTCGGAAGGTCTTGGGATCATTGGCGAAGCAGGAAAATTCGGAGAAGTGTGTGTACTTGACAGGTTTTACTTGCAGAGTTCGATCGCGAAGAATCCGACCAACGGGCTCGTCGATAGTTGGAACCGGATTTTTAGTTCCGACATCCTCATCATCTCCAGAGAACTCGTCAGGAGTTTGAAAATGATCGTCGAGTTCATCAACTTCTTGATCCTCCTCTAGTTTGATATGAGGTTCTTCTTCGTTCTCTTCGTCCTTTACTGCAGGTTGAGGAGTCTGCACAGGCTGTTCTTGTCGCTGTTCCTGAATGAGGTCGCTTAGATCGGAGGAGGTGGTAGTGTTGGAGTCAAAATCCAGAAATTGGACGCTTTTAGAGTCGATGATTCGCCCATCAGTCAACTGTATCCGATATGATTTGAGATCTATGTTGAAGCCGAGTAGTTTCCCTAGATCGCCTCTGGGCTCCAATTTGGATTTGGAGTCATTTGACAGAACTACCAGGGGATTGCCGATAGGCTTGAAGAATTGAAGAGGAATAACATCCTTCTTAAACAACTCATAAGGGGATTTCTTGGAGCGATGAGAAGGGATCTGATTGAGGGTCAGAGTGCATGCGCTGAGAATTTCGTTCCACAAGGTAGCCTTGAGCCCTGAATCGAGTAAAACCGTCCTGAGAGACTCAAGGATAGTTCGGTTGAACCGCTCCGCTAGTCCGTTTTGTTGGGGGGTGTACGCATCGGAGAATCTCTGTCGGATGACGTGCTCTTGACAGTAACGATCGAGTTCGGCATTTTTGAATTCAGTTCCTCGATCCGAGTGCAGTACAGAGGGATAGTAACCAAGCCTTTTTGCTTCGAGGTTTATGACATGAGTGAGCGTTTTGAAGGTGTCGGCCTTGGTTACCAGAGGGATAGCGGCCACAAAACGAGTGTTCGCATCAACAATAGTAAGGATGTACTTATGTTTCTTGTGGGACATGAGCGCTATAGGGCCAATCAGATCTAGGTGTAGTTCTTCTAACGGCTTTGAAGCGGAGGATGATCGGTGTTTGAATGAGGCCTTGGTTACCTTCACAAGTGCGCAGCTCTTGCAGACCTCAGGCGCCTTAACAGGGATGCCTAGTTTCTGTCTGATCCGTCGATAACTGACATGGCCGAGTGACTTGTGCATCAGCTCCGCCGAGCTCAGGTGAGAGTGTTGGTTGAGAGGAAGCAGTTCAAGGACCGGCAAGTTGTGTTGATACCGTCCCTCAAGATAGATCTCATTATTTTTTCGCACAGTAAAGTGATTGATGGCAAAGTTTATGGTGCATTGCTCGATAAGAAGATGACGAAGGGAAAGCACATTGACAGTAATTTTTGGAACAAATAGGACATTGTGGAGAGTGATTGGATGATTACGGAAAAGAAGTTGAATGGTGCCTTTTCCTTCGATCTTGAGGGTACTCATTCTGCAGCTCGTGTTTATCATGCCGCCTTCGCTTTCGTCTAGGTGGGTGAAAAGGTTGCGATCAGAGACCATATGCGAAGTGGAGCCGGAGTCAAGAATGAAGACTGAAGGATGATTGAATGAGAAGGTGGAAAAAGAGCTGACTTGAGATGCTTCCTTCTTCTTCATGAAGGCCTCTCGTTTTTCAGGATAAACCTTCCAACAGTCCTCCTTGGGGTGCGATTTAGCGTATGGATTATGATGGCCAGGAATGCAGCGAGGATCTTCTTTTGTGAACATCGTGGCGGTGATGGACTTGGATTGGTTGGCGTTAGAGACTTTGAGCTCGTTCAGATGAATTTCAAGATGATCGAGTAGCGATTTCGGAACAATATCTTCACCATTTTTAGAGTGAGTAATACTTTGCTTGATATTGTCCAAGGAGCTAGGAAGTCGTCGGAGCAGGTCGTAGGTGATGATGTCCTCAGGTAGCTTGATCCCGACATCTTCCATCTTGACGATGGAGCTTCTTACTTCAGTAATGAACTTCTCAATATTGCTGGAATCGAAGGATATGTTGGCGAACGAATTGTAGACCCGGGCCCGGTTGGATGGTTCCGATGAGATGAATCGGTCTAGGATTGCCTTCCAGAGGAGTTGAGCGTCGACTTCATTGGTCGAGTTCACCACGTTGCTGTGTGTCGCGGGAGAAATCTTGGCAATGATGATCGCACAAAGCATGGTGTTATCATTCTCCTCGAGTGCAGGCTCTCCGGCGATCATCTGGTCCTTCACTCCACCGAGTTTGAATAGAGCAGAGATCCGAGTTCGCCAGCTTGAGAAGTTTTCCTCGGTCAGGATAGGTATAGCCTCGATAGTCACTTTCAGGATGGTGGGATTGACGGCATCCATCGTACAAAGATTAGGTTTCTGGTTTCTAGATTTGAGTTGGGTTGTAGAGGTTCGTTTCGACTGTTAATCGTGAAAAGATTTGATTTTATTGCCAAAAAACCAGAAACCAGAACTAAAGAAAAAAGAAACAAAGAGATCAGATCATTGAAAAGAAAGAAAGAGAGAATATGGAAGCCAGAAGAGAAAGATAACAAGGCATACCACTAATCGATGTAGATCAGAAAAGAAGAAGACTATCCAAGAGGCGAGGTGAGGATTTTAGAAGTGATAGAAGACTGAACACCAGGAATCAAGACAAGAGAATTATAAGAGAAACAGTCAGTTCTTTTGACAACAAACAACAGAAGAAGGAACCAGAAAAAAGAAGAGAAGAAACAAACAGAAGCTCAAGAAGAATTGTTTAGGATAGGAGCGCAGGCGATA